ATAATATATATATATATATATAATATATATATATATAATAATATATATAACATTAGAAGACTAGAAAGTATTATATTTCTAAAAATATTATATTTCTAATACCCATATTAGAAAGTGCCAAAAGCACTACTGGATCGTTGTCATAAGTAGGCCTACTGTCATGGGCATTTTTTTTAACATGCCGAGTTCAGACTGAATGTTCTCATATAGCACATGATATTTGTTTTCATATTTGCTTTGCAATCTTCTACTTATTAATAGTATGCTTCACAAGTAAATCCATAAGAAACTCCGATAGAGATACGCATTGTAAGTGCACCAAGGAAGTATTTATTTGCATCATACTGCGTCAATATGATCTTTCCAAACACGAATACATCATAAACCCGTCTTTCCGTACTTGTAATATTAAAACGAAAATAATATTTACAGTAATTAGCGAAATGACACTAACACAATACCTTCTATATCAACAAATGGCGGTGAGCTTTGTGAATTACTATGAAAAATATCTGCTGTTATCAGTAAGGGCATTACTATCTATTATCGTTTTTCTAACACTGTTCCTATGCCATCACCCCGTCACCGCCGTTCGCTGTTCAGCAAGCGAGCTGCTTCTCCCTCACGACTTCCCATTTCATCTATATTCGTATCTTTATTCTTTAAAGTTTGGCCCAAAAGGAGCTCAATGACGCGCACACACACATACGCGCGCGCACACACACACAAGGTCTATATAAGTACTTATATATATACTTATATAGACCTTGCACACACACACACACACACACACACACACACACACACACGAACACGAACACGCACACATACACACGAACATGCACGCACACACATACACGAACACACACACACAAACGCACGAACACACACACACGAACACACACACACACACGCTCAAGCGTTTTTTGGCGCTTTGATGAGGTTTTTGAATTTAAAATAGAGTTTGACAGAGTACATATACTTTTTGTGAGTAATTTTGTGAGTCCTTTCGGAAGTTCAAAAGGAAGGAAGCGGAGAGAGATAGTATCAATTATTCCATTCAACTCTGTGGCTTCTTTATTATGTATGATATCAATAAAGTTACCATTGACTGTGATAATGCGTCTAAAAAAAAGATAATCAAGAGGATATTTATATTCATACTTTCACTTAAGATATATTTTCCTTTTAGTTTTTGCTCAGCCATATGAAATAAACTCAAACAACATTTATTTTAGGATTAAGGCCTCTACCAACCTGTATAAAACATATTTATCACCATCATCATTACGATCATAATTTTCGTTTTTTGTTGACATCTATACTATCATATCTATCGCCATTTCATCAACATTATTGTCATTTATTTATCACCGTTACAACCGCTCCTCTCATTATCATTAGGATTATAATTTTCGTTTTCATTATTGTTAATACCTATATCATCATAGCTATCACCCTTATCATCAATATTATTATCGTCTGGTCAACCACTCTTCTGACGCGTTTCTGTCTCTCCTTCTTCTCAGATCATAGCTGCAACTTCCACAATGCATCCCTGACCCTTGACCCCGCTTCCGACAAAGGGTACAGCTTCGTTCGGACTCTGACCAAGGGCGCCACAGCTTTCATCTATGTGTTTGACTGCCTAGACGAAGACAGGGCCAATCTCGACGTCTGCGAACGCCTGGACACGAACACACTCGAGGGCGAGAACGTCGAGGGGAAGAACTTCAAGGGCGACTGGCAGAGACTCCATTTCGAGAGATTCGAGGTGGGTTGGGAGGTTGGGCGAGAGGGGTGGAAGGGCAGGGGCGAGGGAGTGGGAAGAAGGGGTGGAAGGGGGAGGGAGTGGACAGAGGGAGAGAGGAGTGAAAGGGAGAGGCTGGGGAGTGGGGAGAGAGAGAGGAGGAGAGGGAAGTGGTGAGGAGTGGGAAAGGGGTGCAAGAGGAGAAGGGAACAGTAGGGATGGGTGGGAGGGGTAGGGATTGGGGAGGTTGCAGGGGCTGGGGAGTGGGAGAGAGAGAAGAGTGAAAAAAAAGTTGGGGAGTGGGAAGGAGGGGTAAATGAGGGAGGGGCTGTGGAATACGAAAGGTAGAGGTAAAAAGGGGAGGGTTGAGGAGTGGGAGAGAGCTGAGAGGAAGAGGGGATGGAAAGTGGGCGTGACGGATGGAAAGGGGAGGAGTTGGAGAGTGAGAGAGAAGGGTGAAAAGGGGAGAAATTTTAGCGTGTGCGCGAGGGGTGAGAAGGGAAAGTTTTGGGAGAGAGACGTAAAGTGGGAGGGGTAAGGGAGTAGGAGTGATGGGTGAAAGGAGGAAGGGTAGGGGCGTGTGAGAGAGGCCTGGGAGGGGGAGGGGAGGGGCCGGCCGGAGTGGCAGAGTGGGGGTTGAAGAGTGGAAGAGAGGGGTGAAAGGACCCTATCACACCAACACGCATTCCATTTTTTTCGCGTGACTTCGAGGCTTCCGCAAAAGGCGCTTGCATGCGGAGCTCCCTCAGGCGACGGCGCAGCGACCCCTTTCATTTGATCTTCTACTATGGAGGATCATTAATACCAAGTTGTGTTTCACTGGCAAGTAAAAGGAGTGAAGTTCGCGTAAGCATAACCTATCACGAAACGTTTCTGTTTTAAGATATAGCAATATCATTAACATAAAGATATTTTCGAGAACATAATAAGCATTGACAAATGTCATATTCCACAGTATGCTCCAAAGGGGAATGTTTAGAGGTCGGAACACCTGACTTTTATTTCATTAATGTCTATTTTTCTCTTCGGTGCAATAATTCTGTTAGTACCGAATTAGGTCAATCAGATTTTTGTGTTGATCTTTGCAAAGTTCAGTTAAGTAAGAAAAAAGTGTCATTTTACATAATTATCATATACTACCTGCATGACAACCTCGGAAACCTCGCATGACAGTGTTGCCAAGCGTGGGGAACACTTGCAATGGAATTTTATTCGTCCTGAGCTGTACAGATATGGCCGGTTTGTCCAAATTGTGCGAGGCCCGACCCAATAGATTTTCGTTATACGGACATGCATATTCACAGAAGTTAATGTATACCTGTCATTCGAAACATGCGTATTTTCCTTTTAGATAGATGAAATGCATATTTAGCAGATAAGTAGACAGATATGCATTAATTTCAGCGTACTTGCATGTCCGTATGGGCGTAAAATTATTGGGTCGGGTCTCGCACAATTTTAATGAAATGGGCCCGGATTCACTCACGAATTTACGATGGTAAAATCACTGGTAACTATAGTATTGTATGGTAACTTATGGTAATGGTAAATGTGTTCCTTTCAAGAGCTAAACATTCTAACAACAGACCCCTGTTCTCTTTACAACAGGTTTCGGAGCGCAGCATCGCAGTCCTGGTCGTGGGCGATTTCCTGGAAGTATTTGAGACGAAGAACAATCCAGTATTGAGGATCAACAAAACCAAAGGAATGGAGTTTGCAACCGATTGCAAGGGTGGGTGATGGGAGCCGAGGGAAGGTGGACGGCAGAAATAGTGTTAAAAACAAGTGTTTTTTAATGCACATGTGTTTATAATCGCGTGTATTTATTGCTAGCTAC